TCAGTCAAAACTGGGAATATATCCAAGAAGACTTAGAAGGGTTGCGGAGGTGGCTAGACCAAAGGGCTCCATGAGAGTATGCAGAAATGGAGATCTCAGAGCCGACGCCTATCCCAGGCGTTAACACCCTCTCTACTCCTATTGTTGCTAACTTTAAACCTAGCTTCAATGAGAAGTTCACCCCCAGGCGGGAGAGCATTGCCTCCTTCTTGTATGCTTATGAGAGTTCCATGGAGGAGGCCACCGACTGACAAAAGGTGAAGCACATATACTCATGCCTAGACAGTACCGTCCAGGAAATTATGACTCCCCATCTGAAGGAGTGTAACACCTGGGAATAAGTACGCACCGCCCTGATCCAAGAGTTTGGCAGTAACCAAACTTTGGCCAACCAGAAGCAAGCGTTCATGGGCATTCGACTTAACAAAGCAGAAAGCCCTATGGAGTTTGCCAACTGGTTCTACGCTCAGGCTCAACCTTTGGTTATGATAAGCTGTATCACACTGGATGACGCCATTACCGCTGTCATCTCCACCTTGGGCTCCTATCCCGAGGTCCAGATGCACATGATCGGGCAGAAGAATGGGTTCACTTGTATCAGAGAGATCAAGGAGGCCCTCAACGAGATCCCTGCCACGATCCTAAACTCTAAAGCTGCGCCCACAGGTCCCTCTAACTGCCCTAGAGTCCATGTAGTTGAGAATCAAAAAACCCTTGACCGCGGTGCACCCATTGCATTGGCTTTAGACATAGCACCAAAACTTGTTGGAAACGTCTAGCTGAAGAGGCGGGAAAAGGGCAGTCAGCATGAAAGACAAGGCGCTCCATGCTGACACCCCTGTCCAGCCTCAAATAACCCCTACGCACAAACCAGAAGCCAATAACTCTGAAGAAGTAGCCGCAGTATCTAATGACAATAAAGACATTGATACTGCTTACTCTTCTTCTGATGATTCTCCTATGTTCCTTACGTTGCCGCCTCAGTTTGGAAGTTTAGTCACCCGAGTTGCCATCCGGGTCCACAAGATTCCAATTTATGCCATAATTGACAGTGGCTCCCCCGTGAATGTTATCTCTTCCAAGATGATGAATCGCATCAAGGTTGCCCCCTACATGCCGCACTACATGGAGTATGGCACAGCTGGCCCCCAGTGCACCTGATCCATAGGGGCCTATTCTTCTCACCTGATTTGGTTCAGAAAGCTCGCTTTGGATACAACTGTCATCACTTTAGACAACACCAGCTATGATCTACTCCTTGGAACCAAGTTTCTTCAAGACTATTTGGCTGTTATCCACTATGACGGTGGTTTCCTCTCCCTTCTAGGACACTGAGTCCCTCTGGTTTTTGAAACTGCCCATGACTCTAGGGTGGATGTCAAGGCCCAAGCCTGCCTACTGGAAACTGAAGGACGAATTGATCAGCTTGAGTACCACGTCTGGGGCTCTTGAGTCCGGCTACCCCCTCCTGCTGTGGATGGATCTGAGGGGATGCCGATTTACTTGCCCCAGACCACTACCGTGCCCCCAAAATCCCAGGTCATTGTCGACACCCAGGTCCACATTAACATTCCCTCGGGGTATTTACTGGAGGTCTGAGGTCTAGATAACCCATCTCCCAAGGAAGTGCTGAACTGCCCCAGAATCCTTGATCCAGCGTACGATGGGTCAATATCAGTGTTGCTAGCCAACCTGACTGACAAACCAAAAGTTATAGGACCTAGCCAGCCCGCTGCTTACATTCACTTGTTACCAATGGGGGCTGTTGCTGACATCTGAAGCTTTGGGGAATTGAGGGACCTTGGCTTGGAGTCGCCATCATCAGTTAACTTGGTCGACGCTAACATAGGAAAGGACCTCTCTGACGATCAGTGACTTAAGGTTCAGGAGCTCCTGGAGGAATACTCGGATCTCTTCTCCACTTCGACCTATGACTTTGGAAGGATAAACGGAGTCCTCCACCATGTAGAAACTGGGGATGCCCCCATTTTGGTCCCAGCCTTACCGCAAGAGCAAGGTTGAAGAGGCCCAGGTCACAGTAGAACTCAAACAGCTGCTCAATGCGGGGCTCTTGGTTCCCTCATGTAGCCCTTGGTCCTCCCCACTGTTGCTGGTCCAAAAGAAGGATGGCAAGCACCGGGTGGTGATGGACTATTGATGACTCAACTCTATCACCAAGAAGGACAGCTATCCTCTGCCCCATATTGATGACTCACTCCGACTGCTTGCAGGTTCCCAGTACTTCTCAGCCATGGACCTCGCCAGTGGGTACTGGCAGGTCAAGCTCGCTCCCGAAGGCCGAGCCAAGTGTGCTCTAATCGCCCACGAAGGGCTGTTTGAGCCTACTAGGATGCCCCAAGGCCTTTGCAATGCCCCAGCCATGTTCCAGCGCACCATGGATGGGATCCTTGGGGACCTGAAGCTCTCCTGTGTCCTAGTCTACCTAGATGACATCACCGTTTTTTGCAAACTTTTAATGGACATGTCAACCACCTTAAGGAAGTCTTTGAGCATCTTTGGAAGGCCTCCATCAAGCTGAAGCTCTTGAAGTGCTCCTTCTTCCAGCCTGAGCTAGAGTTTCTAGGCCATAAGGTCTCCAAGCGTGGCATTCAACCTATCCTCAACAAGGTCGATGCTATAGAGAAGATGTCGCGCCCCCAGAGCCTACGAGATATTCAAGTCTTCCTAGGTATGGTGGGCTATTACCGTCAGTTCATCCCCCAGTTTGCTGACCAGGCCGAGCTTTTGTTCTACCTCCTACAAAAAAATGTCCCATTCGACTGGCAACCTGAACAGGAACAGTCCTTCAACACCCTATGTACAGCTTTATGTACTAAACCTGTTCTAGTTCATCCCCATTTTGACAAGCCCTTCTTGCTGTTCACAGATGCTAGCGACGTCGCTGTGGGGGCTATCCTGGCTCAGCATGATGAGAACCAGGTTGACCATCCCATATCTTATTTTAGCAAAACCTTAAGAAAGGCTGAATGAAACTACAGCGTTACCGAGAGGGAATGCCTAGCCGTACTTTTAGCCATCAAGCATTTTCGGCCCTACCTCTATGGCACCCATTTTACTATCATTACTGACCATTCTTCCCTTTGATGGCTGCAGCAAATGAAAGACCCTGATGGACGGCTGGCCAGGTGGGCCCTATGACTACAAAGCTACGACTTCACCATTGTCCATCGCACCAGTGCTATTCACCAGAATGCTGACGGACTCTCCCAGATGCCAGTATTAGCAGTCCTGACACCAGAGGAGGATTGGCTCTATGACTTAATAGGGCATCCTGAACGTTGGGAGCTGGAATCCCCCAGGTCCAAGCCAAACTCCATCAGATGACTCAAGACACTCAGATCAAGGATGGTTTACTCTACAAGAGAGTCAACAAGAAGTGGCTTCCCTACATCTGACCCTCCTCTCATACTGACATCATCCTGGAAGGCCACTCTACTGTGGGGCATGGTGCGGTCAAGAAGACCTATGAGTGGCTGAAGTCGCGCTGCTACTGGGACCAAATGGTCAAAACTATCCAAGAGGTTTTGGAAGCCTGCATGACCTGCCAATCCCAAGACTGGGTCAACCCTCGCTATCAGCACTCCATCGTTGCGCTCACTAAGCCCTTCAATGTCATCAGTATTGATGTGGTGGGTCCCCTCCCCACTGGTCTACATGGTCACAAGTATATTATTCTTGCCATAGACCATCTAACTAAGTGGGTTTAGGCGATCTCAGTTCCTGCAGCCACGGCCAAGGCTACCGCCTTGTTCCTTGTTTGCTCCATTTTCACCCAGCATGGGTGCCCTCAGACCTTGCTCTCAGAAAATGGTTTGAACTTCACCTCCCAGGTAGTACAGGAGCTAACTTCACTATTTGGAACCACCCAGAGTTTCGCTGCTCCCTACCACCCTTCTACTAATGGGGCGGTGGAAAGGGCTAACAGAACTCTCATCTCCATCCTGCGGAAGTTGGCTGCCTCAGATCCTGGCCGCTGGAACCACTATTTGCCTAGCGCCCTGCTTGCATACCAAGTAAGCTACCACCGTGTTATCAAAATGTCCCATTTGAAGCCCTATATGGGCGGGCCCCTCGACTACCCAGTAGCATCCAGCCTCTGTTTGAAGCCTCCACTCCCGAGAATGCCAATTTAAATATGAGGGCCCTTGCCAATGAAATTGTCCGGCTCCAAGCCCAAGCCACTCAAGGATTGTTATCACCACTGGAAGAGAGACATCCTGATTGAATCTCAGATGACCCTCCTTACCAGAATTTTAACCAGGTGACCTCATTCTCTTTTATCATCATTGACTGGGAGGCCGACAGAACAAGCTTGACATACTGTGGTCTGGGCCCTACAAAGTGATACACAAGGTGAAGTCCAAATACTCCATTGCCAATACCAAGCAAGGGACTATTGTAAACCAAGTGCATGGTCAGTTCCTCCAGCCATACCTCCCCCTCTGACAGGATCTTGAAGGGGGCCTTGTCAGGATTTGAGATAAAAATATTCTAAAATTTCTGTCTTCCAAATCTGGCCATACCAAGTCAATCATCGATTCCAGCCAAGATAAAACTTTTTCTGGATCAACCTTACCTAGTACTGAGTCACATGGAGCGGGCTTTCCACCTTCTCAGTCAGGTGAGCAACAATATCCATTGAGGACGCCCTCAAGGAGGCCTTTCCAGAAGGTTACTAAAGATCCTGATTGGATGAGGACCCAAAGATCCTGAAGGCATCAAGTTCCCACGCACCCTATGAATATTGAAGCATTTTGAATTAATAAAATATTCGGTAAACTAACCTTAATTTTTCCATTTCCTCTTTGTTGCTCACTTCCAATTTTCCAGCTTTGAGCCACCTCAAACCCCAGCGCCAGTCAAGAGAACTGTAGCGCCGACAAGCAACAACTCTTGGATCTTTTTATAATTCAAATTGGCTTTAATTTTGATGTCAAAGCAAAAGAGAGTTTTTTTACAACTGCTATTTTATAGATTGAGCCAGGGGGTGAAAGGCGAGTTAGTAGGGCGTATGGCTACCAACCTGAAGGTTGTGGGTTCAATTCCCACCCTTAGCACATTGATTGGGGTGCCAGCTGAAGGAAGCTATTAGCGGTTAGTAGATATAATAATATGAAAACCTTACCTATGATTCAACCAGAAAAATCTGAGTCCCAATCTATAGGTGTAAAAATTTTCTATAACAGAGTTGACCCTGCTCAAGTTTCATGTTGATACTTTCTCTATATTGGTAGTGTTTGTCCCCTGGTTGGCTTGCCTCAAATAAATAAAATCTTGGATAATGAACCTCTCTAAGCTGCACCACGGCATTCTCTCATGAAGCTTTATAACATGTCTGGCCAAAACCTCAAATCTGGCTAAAGAAAAGCTATACCAATTTAAGGCTCAAACAAATTGAACCATAACCTAGTATGCCCAACCAACACTGACGTCTCATCTACTAAGCAGAAAGATGATCACATCAGATTCCTTAAGATTAAAATAGAGCAAGCCTTGTTTTTCATCAGTAAAATTAAAGCTAATTAATCACTCAATGTCTCCTCAATCAACAAAATGGTCCTCACAATTTAAAAGCACACTAAAGTTTCCTACAAAGACATCAGTTAAATGTTGACTGGACCTAAATTATTGGGTAATTTGATAAGGGAATAATAATATTAGATGATGCTAATTCATTATGTATCATATTAAAATTATCAGTGATTATGGACCAAAAATATCCTAAGTATATCCAAAACTTGTGATCCGCAGCCTAGAAATTCCACTTAATTTTATTTGTTTATGATGACATGGGCTGGGGGCTTTGTTGGTTAAGTCAGACTTAATAATAGTCAGCTTAATGACCTGAGCTTGTGGGCTTTGTTGGTCTATGTCAAAATTAGCTTTTAATGTCAATTGAGTTTTCAATTGAATTAATTACTAATTCGTGGTACAAATTGCCTTGGCAAGTGCTACTGATTGCTTGAGAGGAATAAAGGTTCAGCTATCTGCAGGTGCATCAGAAATGCTGTCTTGATAAGTTTATGAGTTTGACACTGACCCTGAGGCCGTGTGAGATGCCCCAGAGATGAAAGAATTGGAGACCCTCAGACGAACTTATTATGTGTTCCTCTAGCTAAGTGCCATTGAGAGATGAGGTGTCATGGGTAATATGTGGTTAACATCAAACCCTATAAATTATCTTCAAGTTGATACTAATATTAGACAATCATCTATTACTACAAGTTCATAATTAAATACAAACTCTTTGTATTTAATACTTTTACGTTGTATTAAGTTGAGAATTTACTTAGGATCAGAAGGATCAGGGCAATGGGCCATTATACAAGTAATGACAGAAGGATTAAGCTTTGAAGCGTCGTTTTCAAGGAGTATATATCTTGACTATTGTCATTGTCTGGTCTACTGTCTCCATAGAAAAGACGCTAAAAACTCCAACTTATCTCAGAAGAAGAACCAACCCAATTGAAGTAGGCTTAAAATTCAACAACAACAAGCAAGACTTATGTGATGAGATCTTCCAAATGCGCCCAGACTGTTACTGAAAGTTAATTGAGGATAACTACAACTAGCACACTAAACCACTGGAGCTGACTGTCAAGGAATATGTGAACTTCAAGCCACCTAAGCTTCCATCTATGTTCTTGAAACCCAAGTAAAGCTCTACAAGATAACAACAATACCTTGCAAAGACAGATGGTCACTCTAGACTCCACCCTTTTGAGATTTTGAATATTTACTCACTTATTAAAAATAATTCTGTTTCAATAGTGGGGAAGAGTTTCAGCTGATATATCCTCAATTATGCTATGTGTATTATGGTACTTCCTAAATGTTTGGAAGCTCACAAAGCTAAACAATAATACCCGAATCTTTTGGTCTCTTCTAGGTTTTTTCCCTCATTAATTAGTAACTATCCAGACTCAGGTAATAATTACAAACCCCTGAATGCTTGTCTACACATCTTAATTTAAAGATCAAATTAATATAAGATGATATAAGATGGAAATATGATTATATTGAAAGATGATAATTTTATTTTAGGTCCAGGCGCCAGTATTTTATACCTCTAGGGCATCACCTGGCCATACTCATATATTAGATGAATTCATTTAAACCATGCAAATCTACTATGGATTATGGCAGTGGTGATTAAATTATCACCAAGTTAATTCAGCCCCTGAATTAGCTAAATTACAACTGTTTTAGCCCAATTGGAGACACTAATTTTTTCATAATCATGAAGAATTTAGGATTAGTATTAGCAAATCAGTGGTGTATATTTTCCTCTCAACCAGCCCAATTACGTTTTATCATACAGCTGACAAAGATAAAATAAATGGGGAGAAAAATCATATGGAGTTTAAATAATTGTGTATTCCTAATTGGAATGTTAGCAGGCCTTTTGATAGTACTAGGTACTCCCTATTTGGGCCATCCATGTGCAAGTACTATTGTGCTAATTACAATGATTGACATACATAATAGATTAAACTCATTAATCGTTTTTGCATTAAATTAAAAAATGCAATTAGGTTTATGCCATAACTTCACTTGGTTCACCCAAGTGGATCCCATAATCAACCATAATATTATTATATCATAGCTTTTATTAGCTATAATAATCAGGTCGTTTGACACAATAAGGGCAGTTTTGAGGTGAATTTGATTTATCTGATTATTTAGATAAATTAGGAAGGATCAAAGGATCCATCAATAGGAGTAATATATCAGTATTGGTGGTTTTCTCAAAGGGTTTATTTTTGAGTCAACCATTAAAATCTAACATTTCCCCCACTTGACTGGAACATAAACACTGATTTTTCCAAAGTTATTTTCAATGTCTGTAAACAGTACTTGTCTGCCTACTGCAGCTTCGTCACTTCTCTTGATCCTGAACACCGTCATCATTTTAATCAATTATACAGAACTATGCAGATGCATATGTTTGTAGGTTCCCTCCAAGAATCTCAGTTGGGTCAACTTGTTCCTGTCCCAACGTAAATAACGTCTAATCAGCCCAGGCTTATTGTTGAAGAGGAGACCAACCCTTCCGTTGAGCCTACTTAAGGATCAGTGGGGTACAAAAATCAGTTATGTTCTTCAACAATCCTTCCAGTGGACACTTTTGGCTGCGTTTTTGATCCACAAGAGACAAAATTTTTACTGCAATCTATATTTTGGGATGGTGATCTTCTGGCAGAGTTTATCTTCACCCTCAGCTATTTCCTGATGACTTGAGCATACAATGCAGTTCTGGGATCATCCAATTATTCACATCAGGGTCAACTTCTTGACAAAATGAGGGCCAATTATGAGCAGTTTTATAGCCCATTAATTTTTTGCTGAGGATAATACCATATGCCTCAAGATTTTGTCCAAGTTGATGGCTTTGTAAAGGAGGTCCTCAGTTCATGGTCTGCGCCGCTTGGGAATAGCCTGTTTTGATCTATCCTTGGGTCTAAATACCTCAATGTTCAGGATGTTTGTTTCCACTTGGCTGTTCATGCAGCTTCTGAGACTTTACATAAATATAGCATGGACGAATATCTCCCAAAAATGGTCTTACTTGGCCATATTATGCGCATTGTTCCTGATTGGATGCCTTCAGGCAGGCTGTTACATGTTCCCCCTTATCAGGTGGTGCAAAAACCAGGTTTATTGTGTTAAACTGGCAACCCCAGAAAGGTATCAATACCAGACTGATTTTTTTTGACTGTCTTCTTTTGGCATTTGTTTTCCACCTGATTGCAGCCTTAATTGGATCACAGTTAACAATTTTGTGCCTCCCCTCCCAATTGTTCACTGGGAATCAGCTACAACTAGCATGTAGCACATCTGGCTTTATGCTGCTATGGCCTTTATCCTTGTAACCCAGAAACTAGATTGGGACAAATTGGCACATGAAGATGAGGAATCAGGTCCCGAGTCATCTCCTACCTCAAAGCAGAGGAATAAAAACCCTGCTGATTAATTATTTTTTACCAATAAATTTTGATTTCATTATATATATCATTTTTTAAGTATATATTCTGTTTATTATATTTTTTCTTATTTTATTTTTCTTATTTTTTCATATTTATTATTTTTCTATAATTGTGTATTCTTATTTGTTATTTTTTTCTTCTAATCGGCCCTCTTTTTAATCTTTTTAGGAATTTAGTATGGACTAAATTATAGACATGCACCAAATTTTTCTCATTAATAGTGTAGGCAAAGTGTGATGTTTTCTCAATTATGTCAAATGGACTGACCCAAATGAATTTTAACTTGTGAGCTCAGACCAAACCATGGGTATTACAAAATAATAACTCATCACCCACAGCAAATTCAGATAGATTATACCAATTTTTCTGATCTTTTGCATGTTGTCCCTTATGAAGTTCAAAGCTATTATCAAAAGCCTGTGCTTGCAGTTTGATCAAGGTTTCTGAAAACCGCTCAATATACTGAGAATAGCTTAACTCTTTGAACTTTTGTAGCAAAGAATATAACAACAGTTGTAAAGCTGGATGTTTTCCATATAGAAGTTGAAAAGGAGACATCCTTTTGGCCAATTAGTAAGAAATGTTATAGACAAAAATGGCTGAACTGAGGAATATAATTCATTTGGATGGATTCTGGGAAGTCAGCTTCCTTAGGATGATGAAGAGTGTTCATTAAATTGCTCCACTGCACCATTTGTTTCTGGGTGGTATGGAGTTGATAGAACACCACGCACTCCCATTAACTCATTGAATTTCTGGAGAATAACTGCGGTAAAATTTGTGCCATTATCAGTTAGTATAAATTGAGGACATCCGTGCTTATGAATAAGTTTCTCCAAGATTAAATTAGCTGTGGTTGAGGATCTTAAATCCCAAATAGCCCTGGCTTTAACCTAATTCATTAAGTGATCAATTGCCACAATAATATATTTGACTTTTGCTTTGCTAATTGGGAGGAGTCTGACCATATCTATAGATATAGTGTGCCAAGCGGATTTGAGCCAAACAAGCTGATACAAAGTAGCTTTTTAAAAGGTTTTTTTCCTTGGCACTCTTGGCAACAACTCAAG